GACGAGGAGCAGCTTCCGCCTCCAGCCGCTTGGCTTTGCTCTGCCTTGCTTTTGCTAGGGTGTTTTACTTGCGTGTTGTTGGGTTTGGGGTTGGCGGGTGAAGGCTTGGGTTTCCACGGTCTGCAGCTTAGGCCTCGGCGTCCTCGCCGCCAGCTGGTGCTGGAGCGTCCCGGTATTGTCTTTCGGTTGTTGCTCGCGATGTTTGTCTGGCGTTCTTGGTTGCGTTTTTGTCAGCTCTAGACTTCTGCGTTTCTGAGGTATTCGAGGACGGGGAGTTGGGCCTCCACGTGACTTGGCTTGTCTGCTGGTTTTGCTCGTGCGTGCTTCTTCTTTCCCATGTTTGTGTGTGTTGCTTGTTGGTGGATATAACGAGGACGGCGATGAGTGGCAGGACTTGCCGGAGGGTGAGGTGGCTCCCACCACACCTCCCCTTATTGTATCTTGGTCCGCGCTTCCGTACTCCTGTCTAGGTTTGTGTTGTTGTTGTGACGACTCTTTCTGTTTCGGTTGTGGTGACTCGCTTTGTCTTCTGCCTCTGTCTGTCTCCTCGTCGTTTCGTTTTTTTGGATGTCGAGGTCAACGGCAACGTCGTCGCTCCTCCGGACTACTTTTGCCGGGACGTGAGCATCACCGCTCCACTTACCCCTCCCACGCCACCTCACCAGCCACCCGCACCCCACTCCCCCATGCACTCCAGTTACTACCACTCCCACTTCGCCCCTTCCCTTGCCCTCCCACTGCTTCACCCCCACGGCCCGGCCTTGGCCGAGCACGACGTCAGTGACTCAGTGGTTTGGGCTTGTCGTGCCGGGTTGGAAGTCTGTTGCGCAGCTGTCTTTCTTTGTGAGGCAACACAATTCGATCACATCCTGGCGGTTTCTTGGACTAAGTGTTTGGGATGTTTTTGCTTCTGTGGCTGTGGCTGCGTCTTTGGATCAGGTCCAGCTGGATGTGTTCGCTCCCGAGCCACTCCCACCGGTGGTGCTGGGCTTAGCTTTGGGGGGGGGGTGGTGTTCCTTGGTCCCGTGGTTTAGGCTTCGCTGCTGCTTTTGCGTGAGGAGCTTGCGTCTGGATCGTCCGACGACCCCGCTCCTTGGTCTTGTGCTGCACGCGTGCTTTTGGTTTCGTCAGTGCATTCGCGTCTTTGCATCCGAGGTCATCATTTCCGTAACTGATGACGAGCTGGACGAGCAAGCCTTCTGGGAGGAGCTGCTGGCGGAGGTGGGCGGCTAGTCTGGTACAACTTGGGGGGGTGAGAGAGACTGTTTTGGTTGCTTCCTTCCCTGTCAGGAGCCGCGTCCAAAGAAGGCGCGGAAGGCGTATGACACATCGCACGAGCCGTGCGACATGTGTCATTTGTGCGCCATGCAGCGGCAGCGGGGCTCCTTGTCTTACTTTTGGGTTGGGCTTCTGTGGTTTGGGTTTGGTCTTGATGGCTGGGTTCTTGGTTTGGGCGTTGGGGGGGTGCCGGGTCGTGTTTCGGTTGGGTGTCTGTGGTTTGGGTTTGGTGTCGGTGGCTGCATTCTTGTCTTTGGCCTTGCAGGTCAGCCTATTCGGAGTGACCGGTGCGTGCAGCCGGTGCCCCGCAACCGGGTTTTCCGGGGTATTGCACGTGCCCGGCGGGCTGCGCCCAAGGCGAGCCCTGCCGGTAAGGCCGCTGCTAAGGCTAAATCGGAAGCCAAGGCCAAAGTCAAGTTTTATAAGAAGTTGAAAAAGTAGTCGCTTTTCTTAGGCGTTTGCACCTGCTTACGTAGAGCGCAAATCAGTGGTGTGGATTCTTTCAGCTATATGTAGTTCTAGGCATTAGGTACATCCTTTAGTGACGGTTATGTTCTTGTGCTTTGGCCCTTTTTTTCTGCGAGTCTGGCCGTTTGCCGCTCGGGTGCATGCCTTGTTTCACCTTTTCAACCTTTAAATAAAAGAATTCTCGGCTTCCCAGTCCAATTACTGTGTAAGTCCTTTGAAAACTGTAGGGTGTTGTAATAATACGCATACAACAACTAAACTAACAATGCGTGTTATCACTGCTTAGTCGTTGCGTTGTGCTATTGGACTGGGAAACCCTGGGGCCGACTGCGTCTTTTGCCGAGCTGTTAATTTCCCTTCCTCCCGGGTTATCTGTTCTTTGGGGTTACTTGCGGGTTTTGTCAAGTTAGGTTTGGGCGTAGCATCAAGCTTTGTTTTGGAGGGAGGGGGGGAAATTGCAGCTCCGCAAACGTAGTAACTTGCGGGTCGGTGTGTCGGAGCGAAGCTTTGCTTCCAGATGCCGAGACACACCGACCCGCATGGGTTCCGTGGATGGACAGCTTGTGGTTCAGTTCTTATGTTTGGTTGTACTGGGATGTCTTTCGGTCTTGCTTAGGGGGATGAAGTAGTGGCTTTGAAGTGTTCGTAGTCTTTTTTGTTTGTTTGGGTAGCTGTCCATCTGTGTTGCCTCACGGGCCGTGGGCTCCCTTCCCATGGGTTTGGTTTCGGAATAACAGGTTAGGTGTGTTCAGTAGGCAAGGGGGTAGGCAGATTGGCGCAGTCGTGAGTATCTCAATCTTGCTGGGTTTCTTTGGGGGTTGTTTTTGTCGGCTGTTTGCTAGTCGTTTTGCTTGCTCTTGGGAGGGGGCCCTGCGGGATGCGCTCCGTTAATGCGTGGCCCAGTTTCACTTTGTATAGGCACTGGCACTGGAATTCGTTTTATGTTTTGCTTGAATTCGTTTGTTTCTTTTGATTGCCGAGCGCCTAACACCAGCATCGGTGGCTCGGGGGCTGGGGCCGGCATGCATGGTTTTTGCTTCCATTTTTTCTTTGCACAGTCTCTGCGGCTTTCTTTCAAAAGTCCGGTGCGCAGGTTTCTCCGGGGCTGCCTTGTGGGGGTGTTTGGCTTGTCCTTTAGGCTTCGGGGTTCCTTCCCTCGACCCTTTGCCTCTGTAGGAGTGCCTGTCGAGTGCCCAGCCCGTCAGTGTTTGCGTTTGTTTTCCCTACTTCTTCCCTCACCCCTTTGCTGCCACTTGCGTCCTTGCTGCGCCCAGGTCCGCTTACGTTGACTGCGACTTCGGGCTGGGCGCCTGGAGTGCCCGCGCTGGTCTCGGAGTTGGGTTTCGGGTCAAGTCCAGGACTGGGTTTGTGGTTGTGTCTGGGTGTGAGCTTGGGGTTGAGCTAAGCTCTTGGTTCGTGGCTGGGTTCGGGGTTGCGTGTCGGGTCTAGGGGTTGGGCTGGGCGTTTTTTCAGGTTCGAGTCCCGAGTCTGGTTCAGGGCCTGGCCTGGGGTTCGGTAGTGGGGGTCTGGCATGGTGTTTGTCTGGTCTGTGGTAGTTTTGGCCCGCTGTGGTAGGGGCTGCTATAGCGATCGGCGTTTCAGCTACTCCTTTGCTTGTTTGCTTCTCTGTGTGTTCTGTTCGCTGTTAGCTGCATGCTCGTTGGAGGAAGGGTATCCCTACTGGGGAAGGACACCTCCTCAAAACCCTAAAACCCGAAAACCCAAACCAAAAAACAACTCGGCCAGGCAGAAAGCCAGGCTGAGGCCACGGGGGTCCGCTGGGCTGCTTTTAAGCAGCGCCTTAGACAGGCAGGCCCACCTTTGTCATGGGCAATTTTGTGCCTAGAGGGCTAGACAGCCAGCCAGACAGCCAGCAACACTAAGCCCTAAACCGTTGTTTTTCCCCAAAGTAATTGACTAGAGCCCTTTAAAACTCCTTTGACACCCTTGTAAATCCCTTTTATACCCCTTAAAACCCTAAACCCTAAACCCAATTAATTAATTAAAACCCCTTTAGAACCCTTAAAATCTCCTCCAACAGCCCTGTAAACCCCTTTTAGAGCCCTTAAAACCCTAAACCCTAAACCCTTGTAAACCCCTTTTAGAACCCGTAAAATCTCCTTTAGCACCCCTGTAAATCGCCCTTAGAACCCTTGAAACCCTAAACCGTTGTAAAACCCTTTTTAAACCCTTAAAGCCCTTGTAAAACCTTTACAAAACCCTTGTAGAACCCTTTTAGGCCCTGATAAAACCCTTTTACCCTTAAAATCTCCTTACCACCCTTGTAAATCCCTTTTAAAGCCCTTAAAACCCTAAACCCTAAACCAAAACCTTACAGCTCGAGAGACAGGCAGTCAGGGCTGGCTTTTTATCTATAAGTAGTCAGGCAGGCTGGAGCGCCAAGCTGACAACAGACCAGGGCCACGGCAGCGCAAAAAAGACAGTGAGCTCAACCAGGGAGGGTCGCCCTAAACCTTGAACCCTTAACCCTAAAATGGGTTTTAAAGGGCGGGGCTANNGATGTATTTTTATAATTAGGGGGGCATTTAAGAAATGGGGGAAGGGATTACATACATACATACATACATACATACATACATACGTACATACATACGTACATACACACATACATACATGCATACATACATGCATACATACATCATACATACATACATACTCAGGGGTCGTAGCATGCCCAGCTGGATGTGAATACATGCGTTTCGCTTTCTATTTAGACTGTTCATGCGCTTGCCTTTCTCTCTCTCTCTCTCTCCTCCAAGACTGCACTGTGGCTCACGTCTAAAACTGCGGTCGCTCTCGCTATTTTCGTCAAAGTGAGTGTTCTTGACACCGTTGAGTGCATGAGCTCCTGAATTGCAAAGGCGGCAGCTTTGCAGCTTCCTGTCTACAGAATGTTTGCGGATGCACTTCTTGGCATCCTAAGCTGGACTCTCACCTATCTCTTGTTTAGCAAAGGGCCGATGCCCCGCAGCCAATGTCCGGTGCCCCTTAGCAACAGTGAGTACGACACTACCCAGCACGTGCTCCCGCTCCTTCCATACGGTATGGAAAACTTGCCATGCAGGCAATTGGTTGAGCCTGTGTGGGTAAAGTAGCGGCGCGTCTGACAACCTGATGGGACCGTATGAGTAGCCGAGCGGCCCATTCCTGGTGTGGAGCAGCATTATCACCCACACATGCAGGCACATGGCGGTGCAAGTGGTTCAGTCTCCAAGTTTCTGTCCATGCCGAAGGTGAACTCTGAGGGCTTGCCAAATGCTGGGGTCGGGCTCTACACAGACGCATCGATGCTGCAGAGGCAGGTTGGCGCTTGACTGATAGCGAGTGCTGGGTTCCAGAGCCTGGAAGCTTTCGGTCTGGGCAGGCCTGCATCGGCAGAACTTTAGAATGAGTTGACACTACGGAAAGAGAACAACCCAGGTCCAAGTTTCTGTGGCGGCACGCAGTAGAAAACGACTCTACCAATGCAGGCTGAAAGAGAATGCTGCGCCAAGCGGTAAGCCATACATCCTGTCAATATCTGGACTGTCACTGGATGAGAACCTGTCCATGCTGGATGGGTTGTTGGAGCATCCTGACGCCATGCAACATCTGCTCCGTGGCTGCAGGTCCTGGTGCTTTAATGCTTGTTTCTAAGCCTGTGCTATGACGGTCCTGGCATTCCGCCTATGGGTTGCTGCAAAGTCGATTCAAGGAACGCGGTGGAGGTGAACGTGGCATGCCCGAACGTGCCTGGAAAGCCGCTGGTGGGGTATGACTTTCCGCAACTGTCTCTTGTTGTCGAGAAGATCGAGAGCCATGCATCTTGACTTCATGTGAATGCCACGGTTTGCCTGCTTGGCAGGGGCTTAAACCACCCCCGATAGGAGGAGTGGTTGCATACATGTGCCATCATGTTCCTGCAGTGGCTGCCAAGGCGATCTTCTCCGAGCCCTACAAGGTGGCGTTGGGCTTCAAACTCCCTCCATACTTCGACGCGCTGCAGCAAGATTCTGCTCTGAAGAGTGATAGCATTCTTCCCAGCAGTGCTATCAGCTGATTCCAAGCTCTAATCCAAGGAACCCCAATGTTAACGCTGTAAGCCTTAGCCTCTGTGGCCCACTTCTAAGCCCAGAGACCTCGGACCGGGACCCCAGGATGCGCCGTTCTTTGATGCCGTGGCCGCCATGCTGAACTCCAAAGCAAAGTCAGCAGGCCGTGGGTTCCATGGCCTGAGTCGGAGAAGTTGAACTCGGCTTCAACAAAACGTCGCTGTGGAACTTGTATACCGGCCTAGTGGACTGAGAATTTTTCTGGCATCACATCATGCTGATCATGCTGCTTGATGAGACCGTGCTACTCGTAGGATTGGGTGAATAGGATGGAGGAGGAGGAGGAACCGGATTCAAAAAGGTAACAGGAATGCAGCTTCGCCAGGGGGCGCTCTGGGCTATGTGGTCTGTTGCAACACCGTGGGTGGTGCACTAGCTGTGGATGTGGACTCGGAGTCCACGCTTCTGCATCCCAAAGGAGGTGACCTGGCATTCCAGTTGAGATTGAAGGGTTCGCATCGAGCCGCTAGCCGTATTGACATGCCCTCTGATTTCCAGGTCGAGGAGTCAGCACGGTTTTCAAAACTGAATCAGAAATCAGAGCCTGCCCTCTGGAGCTTTGATTAGGTTTGTATGCGAACTAGCAATCATGTCACATAACGAAGTCAGATCATGTTAACTCATTAACACTAGTCCCTTCACCCAGGCCATCCCTAGAAGGCCTGAGCGGGACCACATGCGTATTCTCTATCACAACCAGACTTGACAGACAGTCCTCCGTTCCGGGGGTTTGCGACCCGCACCGCTGCCAGGATTTGGGGGTATGGGTGGCCACCACGTCCGCCTCATAGCCCTTTGGCAGAGATGCAGCTGATCCTCCGACTCTCAACTACCGCTGGGCCAGTGTCCCTTTGACTTTTCTAGGTCGGAGTGGTTGATGAACATCTTTGAAGCACAAGCTGTTGCAAAGTACATCGTCAAATGCCACTACATCGCATTTCAGCATCACGAACTGCAATATATCCCCGTTTGCACCGCTGCTGCCCAGCGTCGCTCTTTTCCCGAGTTACAGGGCTCGATGCGTTCAGCTGCGTTGTGTTACATGGTGTCCACTTCTGCTTCGTCTGGTCTGTAGCAAATCGGGTGCGAGTATTGCGCGGCTGTGCACAGTGCCATTACTGTTTATGTAGTGGTCTCATGCTGGTAAGCGTGCATGCTTGAGCATCCAGTACCTAGTCTTAGGGCAAGAACCCGCCTTCCCGGCATGTCAGGCCTTGGGAAATGTCCGACAGGCCGTGAGATGGGCCGAGCGTGTTGCGAGCTAGGTATGATTCAGTCTTTGTGACCTCCGAATCTGCAATACTGCAGGCCCGAATTGTAATCAACAGGGAGCGTTGTTTTGTTTTCGCGGTTTCTCGGCCGAGCAAAAGCCGTTCTTCAAATGAGTGTGAACATCCCAGCGATTGACACCGTCGTACATGGTTGGGAGTTCCGCTTGTCCCTGACAGTTTCGGGAGCGCTTGGACGCAAGCATCGACATCGTCGGATGTGGAGGTGCACTGTAAGCAAAGGAAGTAGGGGAGCCCATGGTGTGAGACCGGTCTCCTGCTGTCCAACTTGATGGATGTCCGCAGGCATATCAAAAACGAGCCAACAGCATCCAGCTGTTATTTCTGTGATAAGATCCTTTTTTAGATCAGGTGCGAGCGCTTCCAACGAGCGGCAAAGTAGTCGACACAATCCAGCACCCCCTAACTCGTTGACCCTTTGCCAAGTGAGGTGTTTCAACCGGCGAAGATGCCTTTGCTCACATCTTGTGCGGAGCAACGGCCGTTCAGGACTTTCCTTCCGAGCTGGGCGCCAGATTGGCAATTCTAGATGATCAGTTTTAATGCTCAGCTGTGTAATGCATCGGCCGGAGTTAGTTACGTGTTGCATGTGACTGCATGTGGTCCCAAGTATGCCCTCCACAAACCTCATAAGTGCCCCGAGAGGTTGCCACTCAGCACCGCGTAGAGGGTGCTGGATGCTTCGCGCGAATTGCTGCCGAGCTCCAGGCACTCATGCAGAGGACCCGCTTGAAGGCTTGAGAACCTAGAGCCTGACACCGGAGCCCCCAGGGCCAGCTTTGGAAAGTGCAGGAAAGGCTACCTTCGCTTGGACGACTTCCGCGGCAAGTTGCAAGTGCGGCTGCCAGCAGCCCTGTGATGCAAACGGGTGTGTAACCAAGTGGCGGTCCGGTCTGAATGTAAGAGTACAGACGCTAGGGGTCGCGGGAGCAGCACCAGTCAGATCAGCGTGGCCAGCTTGGAATACCTTGGCAGCATGGTCAGTGACGAGACAGTCACTGCCACCTGGGAACCCAGTCGCGAGCCTTTGTCAGGAAAACAAATCTGGCTCATAGATATCTCAAGCAAGCAAAGGGGAGTTTCCAGCGAGTGGGTTTCTGGAATTACTGTCAAGATGTCGTGCGGAAGAGAGCGAAAAAGACGACAACTCCGTCTTCAAATCTTGCTCCACCACGCTCTGCTCGATCAATTCAGTGAAGACTTGTCAAGTAAGCATGCATCTCTGTGATTCGGGCAGGCTCGCCTGGAGTCGGAAAGGAGGATCAGCGATTCGTCCTGCCGGCTTACCTGAATCACCATGGCCTCCATGCTGGCAGTGCCTCAAAAGAACACCTGTGCACTCGTGTTTCTGCATTAGTTGCTCAAGGGTCGTCGTAAGGATGTGAGCTCATATCAGTACCTTTTGCCTTTGTTCTGCTTGCACCCATGTACTCACTGCTCGTGTCGCGATCTGGCGAATCCTGGGTAACTTGGAAGTTAAAGTGCCAGGGAGCGGATCTATGATGAGATCTTGACCACCGAAAAGCTCAACACCGGGGCTTCGGCCTGAGACCCTCTTCTTGATCCGTTCTTCGCGCGAATGTCCCACCCCCCCCCCCTTCCCCTTTTAGGCCATTCGTGTGGAGAAGGTCTGGGTGAGGCGAGCTGGAGCTTCCGGGTCATTCCCCGTGCGGCCTTCGCGTGCAAGTTTGGGCATCGGTAGCTCCGCAATCTGTCAGTCGGGTTCCCATCCACGTGTTCCGGCACGACGTGCTCTTCACGATGCAGCATTACTTGAGACAATATCCGTCTTCTGTACAGGACTGCCAAGAGTCGAGAGTATCCGCAGCGGGATATACGCTAACTCATCATCAATAGCAACATGTCCATTTACCTTTACTGGTCGCTCAGATGATTATGTTGCAGAGGACGATGTTGTGGACGGCCTCGTGAAAGATCTCCTCGACTACTTCAGGGTCAGAGACCCAACACTTCTGGGTGATCAGATCGCAGATGGCAGATGATTCGATGATGGCAGGAAGACATCAAGGAGATCCCAGAGCTGCCGGCCCTCAAGAAGGAGTTGCTTAACCGGTCTGACAAGGTCAGGATTGAAAAGGTTGCAAGTGGCATGCAAAGAGCCGGAGTCTAGAGAGCTATGCTCTGCAGGTTCGGAGGCTCGTTTCTTCCGGGAACCGCAAGCGTCTGGAATTGGTTCAGGACGCCGTGTTGGGGAGAATTGGCATGCTGATTCTGCTTCCCATGGCAAAGATGTGGCATGAGCAGGAGTCGATGCTGGCACTGACAGCCGGACCGCAGCAGGCAGCGCTGCCTGGCAAAGTCGAGGAGAAGGTTGAGACCCTGGCACTTTCGAGGCTCACGCTCATGAACTACCGAAAGAGCTTCGAACCCTTTTGGTGGAGCTGCCTTGATCCGCAGGCGTGGAACTGGAAGCAAGTTGGCAGCTGACCCAGACTTGAGAAGATAATGCACTGCCCTGCTCGGTGCAAGTGGACCAGAACCTGAAGTGAAGTCTGCTCAGATCAGCTCCTGTAACTCCTGACCATGCTCTAGGCTCCAGGTGGCTGTGCCAGAGCAATATAAGGCTGCGAAGATGCGAAGCAAGTCGAACTTGACCGTGGTTTCAGAAGATGCCGCGTCCTCTGCACCCTGAAGCAGAAGCGCCGCAAATTCCTCACAGCGTGCAATTCTTGTAATATCTTGTAATCAGCTTCGCCAAGTCGCATCTTGTTTTCAGTGGTTCGTAGAAGTACATTCTTATCAGAAAAGGCGATGGACATCGACGGCGACCTCGACGATGAGGAAGAGTCTCTCGTCGACTCTTCGAAGGACTCCGTCGGACGGTTGTGCCTCGGGTTGCTCGGCCCGCTCTTGCTGCTGGGTCATTAGGTAACTAGTTAAAACATACATACATACATACACTTATATCATCCATATACATATATATATATATATATATGCATATGGCATATGTATATATGCTATAGATACACCCATCATATGTCTGTCTATCTATCTGTACATATACAGAGATTCCTGAAGGACTACAGAGAGCAGTGGGCTGCTCTGCAGCCGATCCGACGGCGGGCTGCTCGAAAAGGCCTGCATAGCCCCAAGCACGCGTCAACCTAGCTCAAGATTGATCAATGCTATATCAACAGTATCTCACATTTCTAGCGAGACAGAGCATTGAAATGCAGCGACCAACTGCAGCGAGGTTCGAATGCATGTCATGGGATGCTTCTGCATCAAGCATGGCATCTGCAAAATTCGCACCCAAGAAGCTCTGGCAGGTTCCGAGCCCTTGGCCATCGAAGCTCCGCCGGTGCAGAGGACAGCGACTCCCGTTCTGCATAGTTTGCTGTTTGGATTTTGGCTCCCGGCTCCACCGATCTCGTGAAGCACCATCGTGCCTATCGCCGCTCCTGCTGAGTACGGAGCACCCCCTCAAGCTTTCTGTGCAAGCTTCAGAGAAAAGTCGATGCGAGGACCGTCTCTCACTGATGCTTCGGCCACCTTCGGTTGTGGGGAGAGAAGATCGGGTTTCTCCGTAAGATCCAGCACACTGTCAGTCCCTTCAGAATCCATTTCGTCTAGCTTCTTGACCGAAAAACTTCCTGCCGCCGTCGCTCTGCCCCGAAGGGGCAGCCCAGCGCACGAAGTTCCTGAGCTCTTGTGGTAAAGTAGCCAATATGACATCATTAGAGATCATTGGAGCTGTCACTGCTTACCGACAGCTATACCGGGGTGCGGGTGTCAAAGCAGGCAGTTCGGCGCTGGCAGTTGGTGCGGCTTTCGGCGAAGTCGAGAGCCAGCTTGATTGCTTCAATTTCTGCACGAGTAGCACATGTGAAACTGCGTGGATGCGAACAAGATGCGAAGGCTTGCAGGTTTCCACGGTTTCTCAGCCTGTAGTGGCAAAGTCTTTGAGAATTCGGCTGCATCCCTTGTCCGCAGAGACACCCTCCGGCCCTCCGTAGTAGTCAGACAGAAACCTGCAGAACAATGGACAGGGCTTCAGCAGATTTTGCGCCATCTCGAACCTAAGGTTCACATGGCGACTCGCTAACCGCTAACGCTCTCAGACTCTCACATGAAGATCTGGCCCGCTCACCTGGAAGCGCAAGCCAGGAAGCATGCATCATGTGCCAGACAAGCTTCAAAACGGGTGCTCAATGGAAGGGAGTGCAAGGGATTCCGGAGTCTGGTAGCTGCAGGTATCAGCTTCGACGGTGCGTGAAACGGTGTGTAAGGGATTCCCCGCTCAGATCTGGGTTCTGGACAGGGCCCTCCGTCCATTACGTCATTACGCATCACGGCCTGATCTGTGACGATCCATTCGATAAGGGGGTCTACCACCTGAGTTTTGCTGCTATCTTCGGTCCGTTCTGCTGCTTCTAGCAGCGAAGTAGGGTCACCGTTTTGAACTTGATGACTTGTGAAGCTGATTCCCTGAGGCGTACGCAGTTTTGGCTCGAGGCTTACGTATCGAAGTGAAGTGTTGTACTCTCGACAACAGCGCCGCCCCGAGCTCAGATATTTGCTTAGCCAGTTTGGTCGAAGAATTGCGTCTAGGACCCGGCGTGTAATGGTTTGAGACAGAAGCAAAATGCCCACTTCGAAGAGCTTCATACCTTCTTGGTAGATAGTTGGCATGTGAAGCACTTGACCGGCTTTGATACCTCCTGAAAACATACCCGTACTCGTAGTCGAAGGAAGCATGATGCTGGCTTGTCACATCCGGAACAAGACACACCGGTGCCGTGACTGTGAGCTAAGGCTCATCGCCGGACAGCGTGCGACTCAGCGACACCGAGAGCTGGCAAGCTGAGAGGAGGACTGGGAAGGACTCGCGCACTGGAGAATTTCGATTTCGGCCTTGGTACTTTGAAGGGACGCCGGGGGGTCCGGGAGTTTCGGAATGCAAGTCGAGGCCTGATAGCCATGGCCTGGGACTCAGCGAATGCAGAGCTTTGTCGTTCCTGCGGTGCTTGTCATTGTCACCGCCGCTGTAATCTTGCTGCTGTCTTCACTGCCATTTCCTCCGTCCTGCTGTCCTTGTGGACTTGGATGTCCTAGAACCACATGCCACGCAGGCCCCAACCATCGAGGAGCAAAAGACCATGCTCAAGACGCTGATGGGAGAAGGTCTAGCCGCGCCTCCGGAGGGCTTGAACTGCAAGGTTTGCGAAGGTCAGACATGAAGACGCAGCCCCATGTGAGCTCCCCGAGAGGCGAAGTTCTGAGAGATCTGAGAGCTGAGGTCGAAGCGGACGCCCAGTCGGATCCTTCCACCGACTTAGTGAGCGAGGCCACTTGCTTCCCCTGAAAGCGACATTTAATAAACTGCCATGTCTGCACTTCGACTTCGAGGCGTCTGACTTGGAGTGCAGCGACAGCCAGAGCGACGATGAACCACATGCGTTCTACACAGAGGACTCTGCAAACTGCTTGGGACGGCGTTTGCTTCTGTTGCAATTGCAGCTTCGACTGAAGTCGTTGTGTTCCAGAGGCACCTACTTGTAGAGCAGACGCAGATGCAAGACAAAACCCTGCACTTGCAAAAGGACACAGTTCTGATCTTCGATTGGGACGACACGGTTCAGCACTCGGGGTCTCTGAACTTCCGCAGGACATAGGGCCGCAAAGGTGCCGGGATCACCCATGCATGCCTCAGACACTCAGAAGGAGGAAGACGATCCTGCAAAGTGCATGGGAGCCTGCCACGTCCTGTCCTATCACACGACACACTGCACGCCCACCGCCTTTGCCGTTCTACGCCCAGATGCTTCCCTCCTCGTGGCTCTCAGAGCAGAGCTTGAGCCTGGACGAGGCGAAGTGCTCTTTCTCTCTCCGTCTCCCATCAGTCATCAGGGACATGACATATCATGACATGTTGCATTTTGGGGATATGGCGCAGCTGCTGCAGGCATCTCACATCTCATCAGAGCAAGAGGCAGTGGCTGAACTCGCTTGCACCCGACATGGCTAGCTGAGCGGGCCTTCAGGGGCCTGAGGTCAGTTCGACCGCACAGTGCTTCCCAAGTCGTTCAGGCATAACTAGACCCCCAGCTTAAACCTGAATTGGATATGCTGACATGCACGTAGCAGGTCGACAGCCAAACCTGGAGGAGATTAGGAAACTCAGCTTGCCTTGCCTGAGACTGTTGATCAGGTCTTAGGGTTGCCGGCCCAGAGCAGCGACAGTCCTTGGCAGGCACAGCTTGCTGTCTTGGCACAGACTGCTGCCAAGACCCTCCGCGTGGCCAAGCGCTACGGGAAGGCGGTAACTGCATGAATTTTCGGGGAGCCTCAGCAGATTTGCCACAGCCAGTTACTACTGAAAAGCTAACTCAAAAGCCTCAGAGAGAGCGGCACAGCGGGCGGCAGTGCCCCCCAGAAAAGGCACTTTCTGCTTCGCGGGAAAGGGTGCCTGCGCTTGCTGGCTCTACATCCGAAGCTTTGGATCTCCGGTCTCTTTGAGGAAGGAAATTGTCAGCCCGAGCAAACATCCATCCTTCCACTTGCCAGAAGAGGGACTGCTCCCCGCTCCTGCCGTCTCCTCCTCATGGAGCTGGACTTTCCGCATTACCCGCAGCCCTACACCGGCACTTGGGCTTGGGCCACAGGTGGTTCTCGTCACCAACGCAGAATGCGGCTGGATTGAGCTGAGCTGTCTTGGGCTGAGCATGACCAGCAGAAGAGTGTCAAGGCTTGAAACTCCGATTGCTTGTGCCTGAGATTCTAAGTTCCAAGATCAGATCAAGACAATCCGAAATACAGTGAAGCATCAAGCACCGCGAGGCTATGCTGAGCACAGATGCTCCACTTAAGCCTCTGATTTCACTTGCGCGCCTCTTTGCATGCCTGTCACGGTGGCCGAGGTCAAAAGTTCATGCCATCACTCTATCCGCATTTGGAGGACATTTGATGCTGCATTCCAAATGTGACAAGTCAAGTTTTGGCGAGAGGACGCGGTCTGGTGAAAAGTCACTGGTGCATTTTGAGCACAATCAGCCTAGTGGCCTAGCGCAAGTGAGCTGATACTGCCAAGCCGCAGGGATAACCAGAGGCTTGGCGTGCCCTGGCAGGATGTGACTCTGTTTTCAGCGCGATCAACCTACGAGAACCAAGGTGCCAAACTTTCGTTGCCCACGCAAGCCTCAAGCCGCATGGTGTCCGGTGAGAAGTTGCTGCAAGATGAAAGTTCACATCCATTCCACAGCGCTGGTCCAGCTAGCAGCAAAACCCGCCTTTTGAGCCTGAGACATCCGCAGGGGGCAATGGTTCAATGCTAGAAGCTTGCAGGTATGGCTGCACCCTTCCAGTCGCAGCCTCATCTGTGCGAGATCTGGGAGTTTGTCTGCCCTGATTCGAGTCAGGGAGGAGACTGGCTTAAATTACAAGAAATCGGCAATGACAGAGTTCGGGGCTGTCAAGAAGCATTTGAGGTGGAAATACCTTGCTTTCGAGACCGAAATCTGCAGCTACTACGAGTCCCTGACATCGGATCGCCTCAAAAATGCCCGGGGCCTGGGTCGGGCTTTGTGAATTTGCTGGTGGAAAATCGCAGAGTCGCAGAGTCAGAAGACAACACTAGAACAAAAAACTGAAGACATCGACGATGTAGCACTCTCCAAGTTGTCCCTCCACACCCCTAGCTGACATCAGGTCATTTCCTTTGGCGACTCCTTTCATGAGCGGGAGGCTGCAAAGGGGTCTCAAGAAAACCTGCGCCAGATCCGATCCTATAAACCTGATTCTTTAAGGGCCCACCGGCTCCGCATTGCGGATTTGTTAGCTTGGGCGCTTGGGAGCGGGGGCCGCAAGCGTTCTTCGCTGCCCACCCTGGTTGTAGTCCAGCTTCTGTTTCTGGGTGCAAGGTTTTTCTCTCTCAGGTAGTTTTTCCTTGCATCCATCTGACTGTCAGTAATTCTGAAATAAGCCTGATTTGGGAATCCCGCGTGCTTTGTGCACAGGCTGTCATACGCGTTACCGAGCGTTTGAAGCCTGGCACCCGGATGCTGCGGGGCCGGTATGTAGCACGGGCTTGTTTTTCGCTCCGTCTTTGAAGAGTCGTGCGTCGAGCTGACGGCCTCGTGCATCGCAATTGTGACCTCCGGCTGCACGGCAACCAGGTAGCTCAGTAGCTGTGTTCGCTGGTTCGTGTTGCATGCACCAAGGAATTGTTGCACAAAGACCCTGAAGTTCACAGATCGCCCAATTCCGGAGCTGCTCCTGAAGGCCTCGCCGGGGAGCGCGGTTTGTTCGACGTGATGAGCCTCATGCTGACACATGCCTGTCGAAGCAACCCGTTGATTCAAGATAGCGAGGACGGAGGCAACCCCATGCAACCCCAAACCAGAAGCCATAAAGGGGCTTCTGAACATGGCGCTCAACTCCCCAATCTGCTCTGCTTCTTAGCGCCCTCAGAGCCGAGGAGCACGCGCTCATCCAAGGCTGCTTCAAAGACATAGTAAGTCACGTCTGCAGCCCAGCATTCCTCAAGCTCGCAAGGTGTGCGCAGGTTTAAGGTTAGCATCACGCAGAGGCGACCCAATTTCATGCTGTGTGGCCTGAGGATGGGAGTCTCGACCTCTGTTTCACCTGCTCCTGAACACGAATCCGTCTTGGAAGAGAGGCATGCTGATAGGCAGCATGATGTCGTGGCACTAAGTAGCATCAGCTAGACACAGCTAGCAGTAAGCTTCGTCTTGCTTGGAACGGCGCTATCGTGCCTGTGTAAATCCAATGCTATGAGACTCCTAAACGCACAGATTGTGCACGAATGGGATGGGCATTACAGCTCCTTCTTATTTGCTTGCAGAAAGCGTGCTCCCTATTGAAGACAGGCCTTGCGGAAAATGCCAGTGTTGGAGTCTTATCGCCACTGTTTCAATCATTGTGTGGGTCGTCCGTGCCACGACATCTAGCTTACTTACCAGCTGTTCTTCTCTCTCGACATTGTGAGCTTTGTTCCGGCTTCGGGAAGCACCTAGCTGGTCTTCTAAGCGCCTGTTTTGAGGTGTCATCGAGCAGCGTCTAGTCCAGAACATGTCAGCGATCTGCATGAACTCTGGACGAAGGGCTCCAGTGGGTATCGCCTTGCGTGACCCGAAGGGAAGCGGGTGCCAAGAAAGCTGTAAGAAAGCTCGATTGGCCAGGCTGCTGCCTGTGAGTTGGGGACCGGGGGTTTCAGGTTCAGGGATCTGACTTCTGGGTTTCAGCCACCGAGAGTTCAGATTGTGACGGGACTGAGAAGCGTGCTCAAGGCCTGACGAGGTCCCTGAACTCACAGCTGCAGCCTGCTTGTTCAATGTGGGTCTCTGCTTCCGTGCAGGCCTTGTCTCTAGTCTTAGCAGCGAACATTCTGCGCAGACCTCCTATAGTGTTGCCGACATTTCAGCGACTGCTGACGAGGGTTTGCCTAACTGACAGGTACAGTTAGAAGATACGCTACATACCAAAGTGTGACATGCTAGCATGCTATGCCAGGCTTCACTTAATCATAATCTCTCTTCAGACGGGATCATGCTGCGCGACAATTGACAAGGGACAGCCGGATGATCGAGACTCGTTGTGCATTTCACAGGGGCAGAAGTGGCGGATGGACTTCACTGCTGTGGTCGTGAAGCACGGGGCTTCGGGACCTGCAGCGGCAGCTCCTTTGTAGAAGGGTGCTAGAATCTGGGAGAAAAAATACTTTTTTTATATACATAAGTTCTTCTTGTCCTGTAGCCAAGAGACCCAGCAGAAGATTCGCTCGCCTTGTCACAACACCTGCGGGAGCGTGGACAGAAGGGCGGCAACGGTGCCAAGAAAAAGAAGACTGACATGCAGCATTTGGCAACCTTCTCTACCCGTTCCTGCTTGGACAGCAAAGTTTTCGATGTTTTTCTACCGGCCGGTACTCAACACGTGCCGCCGGCCTAAGAGCGGGAAGTGGACGAAGTGGACCCCCTGCCCCTGCCATAATCCATGTCATGGCACATTGGGTTTTTGATTCAAGTTAGTGTCGCTTCCCCAAGCTCAGCCGACCCCAAGCAAACAACTGCAAGCCATGCCAGCTGTTGTTCTGCACCTGGGGCAAAGGCAGAGTAAGGTGTTTCTTGCTCGCAGAAAGTAAACGGAATCCTGGTGGCTCGGCTGCTGGGGAGGGTGGCAATGGTCACCTCCCTTGCTCAGGAGCAGCGGCTACTGCGGCAGAGCTCATAGTCATAGCCAACCAGAGTTCGAACCCGCACGAGGCCTAGCAGCCTCTGCAAGTTTTAGCTAAGTCCGCCTGTCACCAGTTTCCGTGATTTTGCCAATTCGGGCCAACTGCAGCATGGAGTGTCGCAGAGTGTGCAGAACGTTTCACAAAGGACGACACGTCTGCTTTGGGAATCAAGATAGACAATGACAACAGGCATACGCGAGGTTTTGAGACGCGCCTCGGCGTCTCTCTGCGTATCTGCCATGACAGAGAGGAGATGAGAAGATGGATGAGCCACACGAAACTTGCAAACCGCTTAAGCCGCTGTTTGCTCCATCCTCTTCGACCCGAAATGTTGCAGCACCGAGAAGACACACCACTGTTGAAGAGGGTTGGCGGCAACAGCATTCACAGCCGCCTGTGATAGAGTTTCACCCCAGCCTCGTGCTGGCGATTCGGGTTAGGGAAAAGCCAAGCATTTTCCGTCGTTGCCCTAGCTTCGAAGTTGCTTTGCTTTTCCGTCACGGATTCCAGAGGCAGGTACAAGCATTGCTTTACAGGGGTTGAGAGATCTCGTCGTTTTTCTGCTGGATCCATGCGCCCAGGGAAAGCCAACCATGTGCATGATTGCAAATCAGCGAGTGGCTTTGGCAGACTGGGTGTACCTGTGCGCGCATTGAGCAGTAACTAGTAAGGTGCCGGGGGCCTTGCAACTGAGGAGTCTCGGCAATTGTTGGCACATCGTCGGGGTTCGAACTTAGGTCTCGATTGTTGTCCAAATCTTTCAATGAACGCGTGAGCAAGGGCATGGAGCATCCTTCAAGCACGATCCCATGCGCGAGATCCGTAAAAGGCAGATCGGTTTACTCTACGATATTCCTTTAGAATGCCAGCTAGCCGAGCTCCTCTCTCCACCCCGAAGTGTGAGATCGCCGCTGTGCTAACTGTCTCACACGATCCGTTATCTTGCAAAAGAGTGGTCGCATGACTAAAACTGGTTCCGAATGCAAACCCGTCATGCTAGGTGTGAGAGAGTGGCAAGGTTTCCTGCACTGACACAGAAAGCGGTCGATCCTTGATTGCGGCCTTGACAGCCGCCATTTCACCTTCTGATCCAGGGGAGAGACAGTGTGGAGGTTGGCTCTCGCCCCAAGCTCTGTCAGATCCCATCGTGACTTTTCGTAGTCCTTGGTTAAGACAATGCCCATCCCCCTATATCATGTTTTCTGCCTAGGCCACAGAGCTTGGGATGGGTCCTTCGTCCACTCCTCTTCCTGCGATCTTGATGCCACTGGCAGATGCGATGCTGCTCAGGGCTGTTCAAATTGGACCAGAGCTCTCTGAGCAATTGAAGAATGCGTCCCAAGATGGGAAAGACGATTTTGCCTTTTGTGACGTCCTGTATCGCTGCAGAGAGTTTGTAGACCGGTAGTCTGAAAGATGTGTTCGGTTCCCGAGCTGTGTTGGCCGTAGTGGGCAGAGCCGCCGACAATGACAAAGACATCAATCGCGGAATTCGTAGCCCAATGGGCAGCTTATCGATTTCGGGGTGACAACAGACACCACTGGAAGGTCAGACACTAGGGAGTCGCGAACGGATTCTCCACTAGCAGTCGCTATCGCCACTGTAGCAGGGATGGAGAGTCCGAGTCATGTCTCCCTGGTGTCGGGCTTTCGCCTTCGCTCCAGCTGACAGTGCAGGATTGGTTTGCGAATTGGAAAGGGCCCAAGGAAGGGAGATCTGCAGTGAAAACATGCGGGGTTCATTTGGGTTCCTCGCATTCCGTAGACTCTAGCTTTTAGCGACTGGCCCTATATCAGTCCGCAGACCATCTCTTTTTTGGTGTACTGCCAGCAAGCAAAGACAGGATGAGCGAAGTGCCGTTCCTTCCTTCGCGCCTTCGAAGGCGCCTGAAGGCGAGACCCCCAGGATGCCGTGGGAGCAGGAACTTGTCACCGGGCTCTCCTCGGAAGCAACTCGAAGCACTCGCCAGTGCCATGTGACAAGTATCCCGCCATGGCTCAGCGAAAAATCAGACCTGGGAAGATGCGTTGACATAAACAAGTCAAGCAGGGGATGCCTGCCAAGGTGTTTCGATGCAGCAGACTCCCCGACTGCCCGACTACTGTCTCCCGTATCCAACACATCCAGCTTCGAATAGGAGATGGTCGGTTTGGGAGTTTCGCTGTATCCGCAATCCTGGTCAGGTGCACATTACTTCAATTCGAAAGCTGCTACTTGGACAGCTTCCATGGAGCCACCACTCCATTTGCTTCTCACAGATGAGCGAAGAAGGAGTCATGGGCCCAGCACTCTGAAGCTAGAGCCGCTGTGCCCAAAGCTTCCCTATCTCTGGCCGTCCTATGGGCGTGTGAGCCACTTTGCGCCCATGTAAGTGAGCTCGTTTTACATCGGGCAGACTGCCTCCTGCATGAGGCAGATGTCCATTGCCACCCTGACCCAACACCAAACACCAGCACTCTTTACACCCACAACACCCTATGCTTGCGACAAGGAGTTCGCTTACATTTACTCCAATCGCAGCACTTATGGAAACTGATGGTGCTGCTTGTGGCACACGTGCCTGCATCCGACCACACTTGGCCTCATTCCACAGTCTTACATTGAGCGGAGCCTTTTCCGGACATGGTTGCATCACCAAAGTACGGAATGCCGAATGATTACGAACCAGATCGGGCACTGCAACAAGCGGCGTCCTGTTCTAGTAGGGCAACTTGGGAGCAGGGAGCCTAAGGACCAGGACGAATTCTCTTCTACGAAATGTGTCGCACTCTCTTGGGTTCCGACGGGCATACCTCCTCCCAGCTGCCAAGCTGTAGCTGTCCATTTTTGAAGGTCTCAGACATCATGCCATG